TACTGTCACTTGTAGAATCCAAACTTACTGACTCTTGTAGAGAATTTACTGTACTCGATGATTCTGATAAAGGTACATGCAATTTGACGTTTAACGTGTGTCAATGTAGAAATTGTGACAGTTGGCTATTCGCCATTCGATGTTTAATATTTGGAAGTTACCTGCGGATGAGTTTAGCATTCGGTATTTGTCACCTTGTCGATTTGTCAACTTGCCACTCGCTAATTTGACATTCGATACACGCCGATTCGGGTACCGTCTCCGGCAAGTAATAATTTATAGCGTCACAGGGTGATCAATCGATGCACGTAATTGCATTGATACCACCACAGAGGCTTCTTCGAAATTTAGGAGCATATATATCGCAGAACACGGTTGTAAAACTGCGACGGGGACATAAAACGCGAAACTGAAAGTGGCTGCAGAACGATCAAACTTCTACGTGTAAGCACCGTGTTGAACTTAATAATTAAACCTGGAACATAAAGTTCAACGCTAGTGAAACTACCTTCGATAATTGTGATTTGATGTTTAATTTGAAATTCGAAAAGTTCCAGAATAAAATTCGAACTTATTGAGGGGGTGGAATTTTTTGAAAGGAATTTCGAATATTTTAGAAATTCGCGGGTTAAAGGATTCCCAAGAAACCTGAAATTTCCAGAAGTTTTAAAATACGAGAATTGAAAAATTCGAAAAATTTGGTATTCCCGAGGCTTAAAATTGCAGTGAGTTGAAATTTCGAATATTTCGAAAATTTGCGGATCGGAAGTTTGAAAACACGATTGAAAAATTCAAAAAATTTGGTATTCGCAATATCTGGAATTTCGCTAACTTAAAATTTCAGGACTGTGAAAATTCCAGAACTCACCCGATATTCTGACAGATACTAAAATACGTAAGTGACGGCGATTGTCCTTCTGTCAAGCAAAAATGTCAGCAATAAAAGAGAAGTTGGATAATTCGAATCGATCGTTTCGTTAACCACGAAACGTGATCGATTCAAATTAATGCAAATGGAGCCAGCAGTTTGATCGCATTACAGGCGAGACTGTGCGCGCTCAGTAGTAGCGGAACGTTATAAATCAGACCTAACAGCTTTGGATCTGAACGTCTGACATAAGGGCACTTAATTGCCAGTATCCTAGCGTGTCGCAAGATTGCGAGCCTGCAATATTCCTCCCTTGTCTCCTGCAAAATCTTGTTTATTTAAACAACGATAATTTACCGCAAAACATGCTGGAATAATGTGAAAACACGTGTATCATCTCCACGCAGTTTTTGCAATACGGGTGGTCTTTTTTTACGATCATCGAACTGGAAGTTCTAGTTAAACAGAAGGAAATTGGTATGGTAAAGGGGTAGGAAGGGGGCGAGAGAGATGAAATTGTTATATCGGCCACGCGTGTATCTCCTTCGGGGGAAATTAGTTTTTGTTTGCGCTGGACATTGTGTTATAACCATTAAAGGTAATGGAATGTTTGATGCGATAAATCGAGCTGTTCGCTCGCACGATGATGTTTATAGCGTGGGTATTCTCTTTATTAGTGGACAAATTTACTGGAGGCGTAAAACAGTTGAAGATGATTAATGAAAAATAGGATTGTAAGTACTTATGTTATCGGAAATTAAGTTTGCACAGACGGTGCAAACTTTTTTATTCGAATTCTAACGAAGCTAAGTATTTCAAACTTTGCACAATTGTTTATAGTACATTTTTCAAGGAATCGTATAATTTTTCTCGTTACGATACATCGATAGTGTTCTCGATTCTTTTTTTTTTAATAAATTATCAACAAATCTGTAGATCCAACTTAAGCATATCTATGACTTATCATTCAAGATATCTAGAAATCTACCAAGTGCAAATTCAATCTATAACATTCGGTTTCAAAGGTACATACAAACTAGAGGAAGAACGTAATCGATTTTCGATAGTCGAGCACGACACAGTCATTTTTTCAGCACTTATCAATATTTGATACGCATACATAAACCTAAGCATATCCGGCTTATTTCAGGGTACAGTTTTGAACCCAGTTGTACCCTCACACGCGCTTTACATACATATACTGCTTTAACACCTGCACACCGGGTGGACTAAAAGTCACGTAGCTAAATAAACCCTCGAAAACATACTGCAATCTTATTCTTGTGGAATAATCTTTCCATCTTGAATTAACTTTCTCCATATTTCCACATTTCTACTAGGTACATCATGCTTGTCCCTACCATTAAAATTTCATTATTATCCTCGGTTTTATGCGAGGCAACCTCTTCACGGAACACGGCGAAACTCGCCCCTGAAACCAAGTTACGAGAGGGTCTGTGTTTGTCCAAGCTGGCCCGGTACATCTGATCTATGCGCATAGAAATTGCCGCGTAAGCTACGCGCCATAGTAAGTCGGCGGGCGCAGATTCAGATTAGACACGGATTAGCCGAGAAGAGAGAGTGGGGTAGTGGAAAACTGCAATGTCGGATCTCGTGAATTTAGTATCCAAGGTAGAATGCGTCGAACCACGCGGAAATTGCTCAGACAACGTTCGTCCTTCCGGTCCCTGGGCTTGTTCAGCGACACTCGGGTAAAGTGGATTGCGCAGAAGCGTGAGCATTCGTTTGCAACGAGGCGAATCTTTGACGGCTTGACTCGACTATGGTGCACACAGGAAAGGGATAAATTGAAACGAGCTTGCCTTCTTGGCACTGATACACGCTTTGATCCGTGCGTAACGATATTTTCGGGGGAAAGATTGAGTCACCCTGTGAGACATATCCCTAGACGCGGTGAGATGTAAAGAGAGGAACACGATGGAAGTGAATTTACTTCGATGCTTGGATCGCGGGAAATGAGGTGGAGGAAATTTTACCTCAGGACCAGATGGATTTAAACCATTATGGGAAATTTTCGGTGGGTGGAATTGCCTCCAGGCAAAATTCCCCACGGTGGAATTGCAACAGAGAAAATATCTCTCCGGGTGAAATTTCCAGTAAATAAATCGTATCGTGCTGGAATTGCCCCTAGGCGAAATCCCCCGCGCTAGAATTACTCCGGCGCGAAATCCTTCCGTCGTGGAATTTCGCCCCTGGCAAATATTTCTCCGAGTGAAATTTCCGCTAAACAAAATATCTCCGAGTCTGCTAATAATTGCCTCCAAAGAAAGTTTTCCAAGAAGGAATTGCGACTGTGAAGAATTTCCACCGGGTGAAATGCTTCCTACGTATTCTGGGTCGAACTGCGCGTAGATAACATTTTCCTGTAGATGAAAGCTGTCAGAGATTAAGGTTAGCGCACGTAAGTCGGAAATAAACGAGCGATAAAAATTGCCTGCTCTTTTGATCCCTGTCTACGTCATTGCGGGAACGTTTTCGGTCACGTTAACGAGCAGCACGAACAAAGGGTAATCGGTTTTATCAACTGGAACGAGGCAGGAGCTGGTGAAACTGAACCCCCGCGGAAAGAACCGTGTAATTCAGGTTAATCACGGATTGATTAACTGCCAGCAATCGATCCGCATTGATGCAAATGAAGCCAGTGTTCTGATCGCGTTGCGGACCCTGTACTACTTGCTCTACCAACGGCGAAACGTGTATAAATCACGGACTTAACAGTCTACGAATCGGTGACGGTTGACGTAAGACCTGTCAAACTTCGACCCTCACCTTGAAAACATCTACAGCGCCGTTCATAAATAGTAGGACACCCGTTACGTTCGTACGGAAAGTATTATATAATTGAAATTCTTTTTCAAGCACAGATTAAGGAGTAACCTAAGAAAAAATGTTTAAAATGTCTTCAGTACTTACAAAGTCCCGACAACACAGGTATAGTTGGGGCCACGATATAGCGAGGTCGTAAATTAAACTCTCAAGAATCGGCACCGATTGATGTTGCGGCACTCAAGGCCGTGTGTTGCAGTCTGTTTGAGGGTTCCAACAATAAACGAATGGTAGCATATGATTTGGTACTTCAAGTAGAAAATGGTATTTCATTTACAAATGGAAAATATGTTAATATTAAGCTACACAATCTTTTTGCACTTTCTATCTGTATATAACACGAGTAGATAAACTAAGATGCTAAAGCGGCTTCCCCCAGAGGGAGAAACCCTAATTTGTCCTAGCTGCATGCAGTTTTCAGTAAGTATATTAGAATCAGTTGACTTTCGCTGGATACAAGAATTCTTCGTACGGTCCTGACAATGGTTTCAAGTACTTATCTGCTCGTATCTCTGTCAATTTTCGGGTCCCGGCAGCTAAAACATGTTTACTTTGACGTCTGACCGATTTTACGACCTCGCTATATCGTGGCCCCGACTATACCTACGGAAGAGTGTTTTCAGAAGTATAAAACGACGCGACAATCTCTGATCATAATTGATCACCGCGATCGATCAATCGTTCCCTTCTGCCCGATCCATGTATATTGATAAAGTTCCAAGTTTCCGTAGGCCCGTCAGAGTCGATGAAGGGAACATCCATTGAGAATTGTACCTTCTAAACGGATGAATCTGTCTACATAGTTTTCTAATCACTTCGTCTCTAGTTAGCAACGAATCAATCTATCGTATCGCTCCTCCACAAAATTTCACATCTATCATTGAATACATGTTAAATCGCCCTCTCACGAGTTCACTGATAAACTCTCCGCGAGCAAGTATCAAGCAGCATGAAACATGCCGCGATATTTATACAACCGGCTCGACTCGACTGCAGAAAAATCCAAAAGAAACCGCAGAACCGCGAAAGCCAGTCCCGCAGAGAGAGACTGCATCGAGAACTTTCTTCCTCTTCCCTTTCACCCCTTTTAGTCCACTTGGTGTTGGTAGAGTAAACAAAGGCAGCTCGTTGCAATGCAAATTCGCGACGGTTCTCGCGATTACAAAGCCATTAAAGAGCAACCTATGCAAATGAACGCGCGTTATATCCCCACCTAATGTTGTTTTTCTCTATTTTTTGGTTCGACTGTTCCGTCGTTCTTCCATTCATTTTTTTAAACTTGCAGATACTACCTGGCCACGACGGAAGAGGAGTCCGCTGTGCAGCATTTGTACAGGATATCCAGCAAGGCTGCTAGCGGAGAACGGAAGCCGAGTTGTTTAAGCTGCGGGATCGTCCGGGACACGGATAGAAATAGGTGTCTCTACAATACCGCTAAGTTTTCCACCGATCATTCGCATTACGTGCTCACTTGCGCCGGCCCTGGAGTACCTGACATCGCCGTTTACAACCGGGTGAGTGCCGTCAAATATCTGTGATCCCGCGTGAAACGACCTCGTGATCGCTTACTTCCACCGCGTTTGCGCATAAACACCCGATTCATGAAACTGAAAATGATTTCTCCTTTTTTATTTATCTTTTGCTTTATTTTCATTGATATTTCAGAGCATGTAATTGGAATTGATAATTTCGAATTGAGAGTGTGGAATCATTTCCTTGTTTGCTATATTCAATATCTGGTCCGTTGTATTCGTGACTGAAGAAATTGCGGAGAATTTTTTCGGAAAAGTTTTTAAAGTGTCTAATTTTCTTCTGTGAAAGTCCGCAGATCTATTGAAGCGTCCAATGACGTCTGTTCGTAGTTTCAGAGAAGAGGAATTTTAATTTGTTACCAGTCCCAGCATCTTGAGAAAAGATGAGCCAATTTCTATGCCACAAGTGGAGTAATTTTCTCAAAAAGTATACACTATCCTTATTTAGAAAGGAAAATTAATTCTTACCCCCTTGGATGCTTTACCTCGTTCTCCTCCACGTAGGAAAATTAATCTTCCCTTCTTCTCTGTGGGAAAGAAAACATTGTTTCTCAAAGAAGGAGCAAATTGATCCTACTCAAAGTGAACATTTTTACAAAATGAGCAGTCTACCCGAATTCTCCTATTTCTCGTTTCCATTTGCTTCAACCAGCAAGCAAACGAATTTACTCAAATTCTTTCACCTCTCTTAACATATTTGAAAAGTGCATCGAAAACGGTACACAAGTATCTACAGATGATAAGGTACAACGCGATATTTTTCGTTCTTTTCGAATTTCACTAGCTATTTCATCTCGTTTGCTTCACGCCTAAAAAAACATGGCAGCCGGGCGTATTTCACCGGGCGATATTCTATCTTTCTGCCAGGGGGAAAGTCTCGAATCTCGTTTTCTTTGCCGTCATGCTGCGAAAATCTGTTTGCCACGGTCTCGGTGAATTTTAATCCCAGACATCCGACATAATTTTCCCCGGCTGGATACTATACCCCCTCTTCTCCCTTTACTCCACTCATGGTATAACTCCTCTCACAAAAATATATTTCGTCGTTTCTACTGACAGCTCTTCGGCTGTCTGAACAAACGAATCCGCTGACACGTTTCACTCTGTGCAGAGAGACAGAAAAAAAAAAAAGAGAAAAGAAAAATTCGCTTGCCACCAGGACGCCCATAAATTTCTATTCGAGATTAATCGATTGTTACCCCTTTTGTGCGTCGACCAGCTATTTCTGCTACTTTATTCTCAGCCTTAGCGAGATCCGAAGCTTAGTTTCAATCGTGAAACATTTATTTCTCAAAAACTTTTCTAAACGGAGGTAATTTACAGGATGTACTTTTCGTAACTAATGAATCTCATAAAAACACCTGGCTTTCAATCGCCGTTTCCTCGCGAATTTATTCAGTGAAAGATTTTTCTAAGTGAAGCAATTTACAGGATATACCTGTATTTTACAAAATTAGTTCACTTTTCGAAAACAACGATTTTCCTATAGAGACACCCAACTTTCAATAACCTGTTTTTACCTATGTATTCAACGAATTTTCCTCTCCATCGATAAACTAGACCAAACTATCCACGTTTTTCGAACATCCCTGTGGATTAAAAAATTCCAAAACCATCTATCCAACAATTGAAAAACTAACCGAAAACAACCTCGACATCCTCGCGAAATTCGACGAATAAACACATCAGAGTAAAAATTCATCCGCGCCACCTAAAATCTCGCTCGATTCGTGAAGGATTCGCTGCATAAGCCGATGAATCGTCGATCGGGGATGCGCAGCGCGCGTGATATGTCAGTGTCCCGGAAACGGTGGCACTCTTGCGACCTCACGTTCCTCGAGTTATGTTTTATGCCGGCGCTTATTGTCCGCGTGGAACCAAGCGACAGATTTAGACGCGAGAAAATCCGGGATCCTCGATAACCGGAACTTCTTCTCGCGGCTAAGACTCCCTCTTGCCATCCTTTCCCCCCTCCTCTTAACCCTGCGCGAGCTCCTTTATTCCAGCGATCTGCTTGGCGCTGGCTAAGGAAACTTTATTTTTGGAAATATAGAAGAAAATGGGTGTGGGGTCAATTGTAAATTTCGAAAAGGGAGGATTCCGTTCGACCAGTTCTCTTAATTCTCTTGGCGCCACGTAGAACTTCCCTTCAAGGACTTGGATTTCCGTTCTCGTGTAATGTTTCTTCTTGCTCGATTTCTTTTCGCAACGATTTATTTTCTTGAACACTTTTCTCAGCAGATTTTATAGCAGATGCAGTTGCCAAAATTGTACTATTTCGAGGGTATTAGTCTGTGGCTAAGATTAAGCAAGTTTTATGTTAAGTTAGAGGCGTGTTTTTTGTAATACAGTGTGAATGGTAAGATTTAATTCAGTGAGAATGGAGAATTTGTGATTGGAAATGACAAAAATTTGATCGAAAGGAAGAGACATTTAGTGATAAGAAAAAGACCCTTCATGCTAAGTTAGAGGTTTCTTTCTGCAATACATTTTGTACCAGAATACAAAAAAAAAGAAAGAAAGATAGGATTTCATTGATTGATCCACTAAATCGGAGCTATAGGTTTGTAAAAGATTTTTACAAAAGATTTGTAAAAGACATTTTGTACCATGAAAAAGGCTCCTTTAACGGGTAAAAGATTACATCGGTCACACCTGATCTTTCAAAACATTCATCTGCATTCACTACCGGCCAAAAGTTTGGAATCACCTCCCACTTTTCATAAATGTTAAATCTGCTGCTAATTTTTTGCACTAAATCGGAGCTATAGGTTTGTAAAAGATTTTTACAAAAGATTTGTAAAAGACATTTTGTATCATGAAAAAGGCTCCTTTAACGGGTAAAAGATTACATCGGTCACACCTGATCTTTCAAAACATTCATCTACATTCACTACCGGCCAAAAGTTTGGAATCACCTCCCACTTTTCATCAATGTTAAATCTGCTGCTAATTTTTTATAGATTTCAAGTTTATCTCAATTCTACTTTTATCAATGTATCTCATATCAATTGATTCGAATGATAAAAAATTCTCAAAGTCGCTGACTTTTTTTCTGAAAATTTTTGTTTAAATTGTAATGCTCAGTAGTGTAAATTGTTTTATCCAATTCACACATCTACCACTACTTTGTTCATATTAACTCCTTGACTCATGATTTATTTGGTTGACTATACATCTAAGCGTCAGCTCTTTACTGTTCCAGTTTTTACTCCCTTTATTAGGTAAGAAAGCTAATGTGTTACAGGTGTATTACATTTGGTAATCCTCAGACTGATAAATTAAAATGAAAATTAGTTTTTGTTACTAATATAACTGATTTTATCGCATCTTGACCAGAATCTGTGTCATGAGTCTTGTTATTATAAATAAAATGAAAATTGGTTAAAATATGTGCATACATCAGACAATTCTCGACCAACTTCTAACGGCCTTCTGTTTCGACGAGTTGTTTCTGTTTCACCAGGTGGTATTCCACTTAGGATGGGGCAAGTTTGTTTCGAAATGAAACTCGCCGATCTAATTTTAATTTAATTTCTTAATTTCCATAACCCTGGCCGCGGACCGTCCTTATCTTAGCCCCTCGAGGCTCTTTCTCCCTCATCCCTTCGCGTTTTTCACCGCGGAATTTCATTTTCTCCAGCTGTATTTAAAAGAGTGGAAAGTTTATTTGGAAATATTCAAACGAAAATTGAAGTTATCGCGGCGGCCAGTTTTGTTCCATCCCCCTCTCCACCATCGTTACCTCGAGCTACTCTCATTCAACTTCTCGATCGAATTTTAATTTGATTTCTTAATTCTTCTCTCTCTCCCTCTCTCTCTCTCTCTCTCTCTCTCTCTCTCTCTCTCTCTCTCTCTCCCTCTCTCTCTCTCTCTCTCTCTCTCTCTCTCTCTCTCTCTCTCTCTCGTTTAAACTTCCACCACTCGACCGTCTTTCTGCCTTTAAAAACGCTTTATTTCCCTCCTCTGTTCCTTTTCACTTTCCTCCCTTCCTTCCATCTTTCTCTTCTCTCCAGAGGCTCCTGAAAATTTCCACGAAAATATTAAAAGTTAATCTGGCGGATGTTACACGAGGAAATTCACGAGGAAAGGAGAGGGTAACAAAGTTGCGATTTATATTCGATAAATTACGAAGTTATCGTTTTCGAGATATTGTTTACACAGCATGGAATGAACAGGGTATTAAACAATGAGGATGGTTTATAATTGGTTAACAAATAGTCGCCAGCCGTTGAAACGATTCGTTACAAGCGTCGAAAATGGTATTTATCAAGACACAGGGCTGGTGAACATGATACTGTTATCAGGGGGGAGTCGAATTAAATAAATATTCCCGCCGTTTGG